CAAATACCTGTACTTTCTACTTCTTACATGTTGAACTCAAATACCTGTACTTTCTACTTCTTACATGTTGAACACAAATACCTGTACTTTCTACTTCTTACATGTTGAACACAAATACCTGTACTTTCTACTTCTTACATGTTGAACTCAAATACCTGTACTTTCTACTTCTTACATGTTGAACTCAAATACCTGTACTTTCTACTTCTCTCATTTTCCAAACAGGCTGGTTCCTTTAGTCTGAATGTGTGTTTGGTGGCGTGATCATTATTATTTAGAGTCATTGCGTGCCTATTGATTTGAACACGATCCGTGTATCCATCATTTCCTGGTCTTCTCTAAAGAAGAGGGACCAATGAAAACGTTGTCATGTTGCCGTTGGTCACCATGGAAACATTCATTAGCTAACAATTACATTATTGTTCTATTAATATAAAGGGAGGTCAGGTACTCTTTAAAACAGCTGCTAGTTATGGGTACTTTTTACTGAAGTACATTTCAAAGCCTCTTTACTTTGACTTGAGTAAAGAAGTTTAGTCAGTACTTCTACTTTCACCAGAGTATTTTTAAACACGAGTATCTGTACTTCTACTTGAGTAAAGGATGTGTGTACTTTTGCCATCTCTGATTATTATTATTGTTGTTTTGGTGAACTTGCCTCTGTTTGTTGTTCCCTGCAGGCGCTCAGTGGGGACTGTGAACAGCAGATTCTCCCTCAGCGAGACGTCGAGCACACACCCGGGGAAGATCAGGGGGGATGGCAGCCCCGCAGCCCGGACCCTCCCCAACACCCCCAGGTCACATGTTCACCAGAAACACCTGGATATTTGTCATAATGACTTTTTGTTAGGATTCTGCATAATTTGAATCTCAGAACCCAAAAAAGACTTTCCCTCTTAGTCAGAATGTTTTTTCCTGTGTGTCCAGGCGTCAGGTGAAGCTCAGCTGCAGTGAGAACCACGGCATCAGAGCGCCCCCCCCGGAGCAGTACCTCACCCCCATGCAGCAGAAGGAGCTCTGCATCCGACACCTGAGGGCCCGTCTGAGGGACAATGTGGAGAGACTGCAGCACAGGTGAGGCTCCAATGACGAGCGAAGTGCTGGAGTGTTTGGTTTAAACTCGTATATTTCCTCACCCTCTCACCCTGCTAACTCTCTTCTTCTTCTTCCTCAGAGACAGCGAGATCTCGGGGCTCCGGGCCCAGCTGCTCCGGATGCAGGAGGATTGGATCCATGAGGAGGTTCAGAGGCTGGAGGCTCATCTGGAGCTGCAGGAGGCCAGGAGAGAGATCAGTGTCCTGCAGGACGAGGTGAGGGCCAGCAGCCAGGAGCCCCCCCAGCACCAGGAGCCCCCCCAGCACCAGGAGCCCCACCAACAACACCAGGAGCCCCACCAGCACCAGGAGCCCCACCAGCACCCGGAGCCCCACCAGCACCAGGAGCCCCATCTACACCAGGAGCCCCATCACCAACACCAGGAAACCCACCATCACAAGGAGACCCATCACCGACATCACCTACACCAGGAGCCCCATCATCAGCACCAGAAGCCCCACCAGCACCAGGAGCCCCATCACCAGCACCAGGAGCCCCATCTACACCAGGATCCCCACCAGCACCAGGAGCCCCATCAACAATATCACCTACACCAGGAGCACCATCACCAACACCAGGAGCCCCACCAACACCAGGATCCCCACCTACACCAGGAGGCCCATCACCAACGTCACCTACACCAGGAGCCCCACCAACACCAGGAGCCCCACCAACACCAGGAGCCCCACCTACACCAGGAGCCCCATCACCAACATCACCTACACCAGGAGCCCCCCCAACACCAGGAGCCCCACCTACACCAGGAGCCCCATCACCAACATCACCAGCACCAGGAGCCCCACCAACACCAGGAACCCCACCACCAACACCAGGAGCCCCACCATCACCAACACCAGGAGCTCCATCACCAACCCCAGCTGCACCCGGGGGCCCGATCAGGTGGACGCTCTCGTTCCTGCGGCTGCTCCCCTGCTGGGACGCTGAGCCGTGGGGCCCCTCTGCAGCCTGAGGGCCTCCGGGGGCCCCGACAGACTCACCTGCTGCTGCTGGAGGCGGCGCTGCTGTCGGAGCCCAGGGGCCACAACAGCACCGGGGGCCCCTTATCCTCCCCCACCTCCTCCCCCTGCTCCTCCTCCTACGAGAGGCTGTTTCTGCCCGTCTCACACTCCTGCAGCTGCATCGCACACACACCTCACACACACCTGTACCTGCACCTGCCGCAGGAGGAGGCCCCGGGGCCCGCCTCCGACCCTCCCATCCCGACCCCTCCCCCCCCTGTGGAGAAGAAGGTGGAAGTGCGCTCTCAAGCCTGCAGCCCCACCATCAGCTGGCTGTGTGACGAGGCCCCCTCCCCCCTCTCAGAGACACATTTTCAGTCACATTTACCCGGCGGGGCCCCTCCTCAAATCGTGGAGCCGCCTGATAGACAGGAGGAGATGAAGGAGCCCCTCACCTGTCAGCCCCCCCCCACAGCCCCCCTCCCTGAGAGACAGGACGCTGTGGAGGTGGAGATAGAGGATGATGAGGGGGGGGAGGAAGACGTGGCCCCCCCGCTGTGCCACTGGAGCCGATACTTCCTGGTGGATCTTCTGGCTCTGGCGATGCCGGTGGTCCCGACGGTGGCCTGGATGTGGGGGGGGCCGCGGGGGGGGGTCCTGCCCGGGTATCACATGGGCTCTCTACTGAGAGGCTGCTGCGCCGTGGCCCTCACCTCACTGAGGAGGGAGGGGGGGGCAGGGGAGGGGGACCCCCCAACCCTAACGGGGCCACGCTGATATGAGACTCTCTGAGAGACCTGAACCTCCTCTTGTGATGGAAGCTTCCTTTGTTCACCCCAATAAACCGTAATTTAATAAATGAACATCGTGCTGTATCGAAGCAGACTTTGAACTACAGACTGAGACCATACACGTATCAGGAAAATGTTGACTGAGGTAATAAATCAAGAGAGAAGTGGGAACATTTCCTCTTAGACTTCTATACGACAGAAGGGTTGCCCCCTGGTGGACATTACAGAGAATGCAATTTCTTTAACACATTACCACACTTCTTTCCATTTACAGTAGGAGCTTTTTACAAAGTAGTTTGGTATAAAGAAAATAGTCCCTACATGAAACTGGGTCATCATTTCTGCTTCATCCACCATCCAATGGCATCTACTTCCATTATACTGGAGAGAAAACAGACATTGCTACGCCTCATATCCCCAACCCTCTGTAACTTAAACCCAAACCCACCAGGTGAGAGGATGTCTCTTAGATTCTCGGATGTACTGTCCCTTTAAGACTCTGCTGACTTCAATACACTTTGGTTTTTGCCTCCAGTTGGATTTGTCCTCCTCTTCTAAGATTTCTAGATTTTACGTAATGCCCTCGTGATGTTGTGCTCATGCCTTAGAGAACAGAGGATTAGTGTTAGCTCTCTTTACTGGACTCTGCATGAAACCCACTGTCCGGACGGGGTCTACTGTTTGAATTAAATCAAATAAAAGCCAAATTCTGGTTTTAGATTTACGCTTTGGGAAAAGATGTTCGGTTTATTTTATGGATATTAAGTATTTTAAATTGCTGCTGTATTTTCATTATCATGTTTAAAAAAATTGCTAAAAGAGTAAAAAATATCAGAACAATTAAAAAAAATGTGAAAGGACTTTTTCGAAAAGAAGCATGTGCATCTCAGGTGTGAAACAGACCGGTTGTTCAGATGTTTTACAATAAATGAAACAGAGTATAAACTGTGCAGACTCTATTTATTGGATCCTGTTTGGACAGTTCCCCTCAACACATTTTAAAGTGTGCCGCGTGCGCTGTGATTGGCTCGTGGGAGATGGGACGAGTCTGATTGGTTACGCTTGGGGAGTGAGTGACAGAGGATTTGTGAATGAAGGTGTTAGAGACAGTCTTCCTGATGAACTTGCGATTCATTCAAACGGTTATTTTCTCTAAAATCAGTGAAAAATAATTCATGTTTTATCGTTATCGCAAAATGTCCTGGAGGAATTAGAAAAATATAGAAGTTGCAATATTTGTTGAAGGTTGAATTTGTGCAAAAACATCATTTTTAATTCAATACTGTCACTGCAAATATGTCCTTTCCTTAACATCATGCTCTATGGACTTTTTGGTTTGGTACAGATTTAGCAACAATCACTGCATAATCATTATTTATGGTTTTCATTCAAAACTAGAATATTATCTTCCATAATATCTGCATTTCTGTGTGTTTGTCGTGCAGCAAAAATGGGACTATAACTGCATTTTGGTGCACAGCAATGTGTTGTACAAAGACAATAAACTATGTCTAATCTTAAATCTAATATCATACATTTATAGGAATCCAAAAATAAGTCTAATTCCATATTTTTGCACATCGTTCCGTCTTTTTACAATGTTTTAAGGACGTTAAAAATAAAGAATAGCATAAATAAATCTGCAGTTTGAATCCTGAATTTACAAAACAGAGATAAAGCCAACAAGGCATCAGGATTGTGTCCTAAAAGAAAGCGTTGATTTGAGGAGTGCATTCATATTTATCCACCAGCACCAGGAGCCCCGTCACCAACATCACCTACACCAGGAGCCCCATCACCTACACCAGGAGCCCCACCAACACCAGGAGGCCCACCTACACCAGGAGCCCCACCACCAACACCAGGAGGTGAAAATTTGATATTT